GGAACTGGAGAAACAAGGGGTTTTTTCTCTTGTTCTTCAAAGCTATGGAAATGTATGCTGAAACAGAGCATTTGCTTCCTTATTTCCAGAGTTACTCTGAATTAGCAAAGGATTTCGGCAAAACCCACAAGCTTGATTCTCCACTGGTACTCTTTCTTCCTCTCTACACTCTTTTATTTCTCATTTTTTGCTGTTGGGCTGCATTATTTTGGATGATTATGATCTGGGTTTGAGCTTAAACTTGATTATGCTATCCACTGTTTGGTTCCTGAGAAAATAGGAAAGAAAGTACTCAGAAAATGGCTAAGGGAAGTAGTTTGAGTTTGCTTTACATGATGGATCTGGAAAAGGATGGGTGAAAAAGGCAGAGAAAAAGAGATTAAAAGAGAAAAGTTTCTTTTAAGTTCCCTGCTTCAATCATTCTTCCCTTTTTCAGTCATTTAATTTCATCTTTTTCTTGTATTTGGTAATGTTTATTTCTGTGAGTATGTGTAACTCTGAGATATCTGCAAATCCCAGTTTATTATGCCAAAAGGAAGCTCTCATCAGAGCTTTTCCACCACTTTTTTTCACTATAAATACTCGGCCTTAGCTTAATTCTTTGTTTTACTTTACATTTCTCCAATGATTTGTGTTCATTTGGCTGAATTTTACAGGATCTTTCTATTCAAATAGTTCTTATTCCTTATCTTACCTTCATAGAATATGTTCATCTTACCCCTTAAATGATTTTCTCTTTTAGTCTTGAACCATGAAATTTTGTTTGTAACGAAACACTTGTAATGCAGAGCAACATGGTTCAGATATCAACTGTATATGAATACAACATGGGCGGTGAAGGTGATCTATTCAAAGCTCCAGAGCCAATCATCAAGGAATCGTTTTCGGGTCTCAATCCGATGATGGCTGCCATTTCAATGATGTCCTGTGGCAACACCAACATCTCCTTGGAGGGAATTAAAGATGCTGATTACTTTTTTAGTTCAAAAGATGTTGATTTGCTTCAAAATGATCAGCTCTTGAGTGAGGTTTACTATGAGTATGAGAAGGAACTCTTAGAAAAAGGAGCAATGCAAACACCACTGTCTGAAGTTTTCGATTTTAAGAATAAAATGTCAAAGACAGACGAAAACGAGCCAGTTTCTGATGCAATGCTTCAGAAGAGTGTAAGCTCGGGATGCTTAAGGTCGATGGATGGGATGCAAGGCCCTGCAATGAAGTCCAGTCTTGTGGATTTTAGCGGAGTGGATGTCGGTGAGGCCTACGGGATGCGACGGGCATTTAGCGAAGGCGATATCAAGGTCGGGTTTTATTTCAAACTCAGTAATCAATAAGTTCCTTATATGTTCTTGAACTGTTTAACGTTTCGAACAGGAGCGTTCAGAAACTGAAACAGTAAGAATGTTCATGACTCAAGTACAGTAAACATAGAAATGTCTATAAGTTTTCTTTAATCATTTTCACAAGTTGAGGTTTTGCCATTGATTCTAGACTTCTGCTGCAGACTCTTAGTAATGGCAATGGGAGCCAATTCTATTCTCCTCTCGAGCCACTGCCGCTGCTGGTCAGCAATTGCACCGCCGAAGAACGCAAAGAAAAGCTCTTGAGATACCGAAGTAAGAAGACCAAAAGGAACTTTGGCAGAAAGATCAAGGTAACTAATTTATATGAGAATCAATATCCAGTAAGCATGTTCATCAAGTTAACTTGTATCATTCATTTCTTTGAATGGATTCCAACTTGTTACACACAATTCATTACAAAAACACAAAAAACAATCTTCAAAATACAATAATATCTTGAATTCATACATATTAGACGAAGTAGCCCATGAGATCTTAAGATTATAGCTAAGAACAGCAGAGTTTTTGTTGTCAGTATGCTTGCAGAAAGGCTCTAGCTGACAGTCAACCAAGAATCAGGGGAAGGTTTGCCAAGACTGAAGAAGCTGAGATGAGGAGGTAATGAATAATGATAGATATTATGATGAAAAGGTAGTGGTTAGAAGAAGTGTCTGAATGTGCAATTAGTTAAGTTTAGAAGGGCTGAAATGAAAATGTGTAGAAGATAGGTTTGTCTAATTATGCCTTCTAATAACATTGTCTCAAGCAATGTTCTTCTTCATTTTATTGCAGCTCAAACTGTGTGGAGTTTGTAAATATGAGTTCTCCTAGGAGACTCTCCTAAATAAGCCACATAAGTTTCTCCTTTGATGTAAATATTTGTATTTTATTGACACTTATGTAAATATTAACTCTCTAGGGTGTGCCTTTTTTAAATTGGAAAAAATGTATTATTTGTAACCTTCCTTCATTTTCTGAAATTTTCATTCTAACCCTTCTCGGGATATTCCATTTGCAAACGCGAAGTTTATGGTTGATTGACTTATATGAGACTTGCTACGATTTTTCTTGTTCTTATCGAAAATGTCTCTATGTCAATGAGAGATTTTTCCTTCTTTTAGCTTATAGACATTTTGTTCAAAGCTTCGATGATAATTGTTCACACATTTGACTCTAGGAATTTGCAGCTTGTTCTCAAATGTGATATTTTCTTGAGAGCTTTCCGCTTGTTCTTGAATGTAAAGTTGTCTTTAGGGCTTTGCAATTGTGTTCTTGAGATCGGATGTTCCATTTATTGAAGATTTAACGGTTGTGTGTCTTGTAATCTCTCTAATCTTCGTAGGTCTATAATTTTCACAGCTTTGGTTTAGAGTATTTGACGCTCAAGAGCTTAGGAAGTCTTTATCTTTTTCTTTCTAAAATCTATCTAAATAAACTTAAATATCTATCTAAATGAGAACTAACAAACTTAGGATAAGAAAACCATACTTATTAAAGTTTTTTTTTTTGTTATTGAGGAAAAGAATCATATCTTAGTAATGGAATGCTCTTTATTCTTAAAAAAGCATTTTCACCTACTAATTCAAGGTACAAGATAAAATACATGAATATTGATTTTATTTAACAATTTTGATAAAGATAATCTAGAAAACATAGGGATAAAAAGAATGTATATAGAAAGGAAAAAAATATTCTTTGACCAAACTAAACACTACGGTCGGTTTGGTTTAAATCAGTTAGGTTGATTTCATCCATTCGACCCTTTAATCTTGAGAAAAACTAGTAAATGCTATAATCGTCAGTTCTAACAAAAGATGACTGTGATCAAATACGTGTCGAAAACCGAGATGGCATCGACAGCCACCATCCATTCCATTGTTGAACCATAATACCTCACTAGACAATAGCCACCGCACCAAGAAATGGATGGTGGGTTGTTGTGCAAGTGGAAAAAGGAGAAGAAAAGGGAATAGACAGAATAGAGAGAATGTCTTCCTGCCCAACCGGTTTGATTGGTGCAGGCCGACACTTGTCAACCAGCCCAACCACAATGGGAGAACAAAAACACAAAACATTAATGAATGGCTTAAGTATAAAAATTTATCAATACTTAGCTCCAACTTTCAAAACTTGAGTAATACCTTTAATCTCTGCGAAAGTGAAAGTTGAGTAATACCTTTAAACTCACCAAAGGTTAGAACACTTTTAGAACACTTTTACATTAATATATGACCGAAAATCGTTTATCTACATTATATTTACTCAATCATGTAAAAGGTGAGTGAAAAAAAAAATACTAAACGATCCAAACCTACACCAATTGGCATTCATAATCTTGTTAAATAACTATTTTTAAAAAAAAAAAATTATAAATACACTTCTATAAATTTTTTTATCCAAATTTTCATAACTAAAAAATATAGTTCTCAAAAATTTATTTTTGTTTTTTGAAATTGACTAAGAACTCAAATGCTTTGTCAAGAAAGATACAATTTTCAAATACCCAAATAATTATCAAATGAGCCTATATTTTTCAGCAACAATCAAATTTTTAAAAAAAATAATAATAAATAACTATTTTTTTAATGTTTAAATCCCAAAATGAACAAAACAAAATGATAATTAGACCAAAACTAATAAAATAGCCTTATAAGGTAGAGAAAACATGGTTAAGTTAATGGAGACAGACAAGAACATCATATTTTACACACACACAAAAAAAAAAAAAAAAAAAAAAAAAAAAAAAAAAAAAAAAAAAAAAAAAAAAAAAAAAAAAAAAAAAAAAAAAAAAAAAAAAAA